CAAGCAATACAGAAACCGAAACCTGTCTGTATTCAAAATAAATATTTAATTAAAATATGAGGTGAATTCATGTGTTCAGGGGTAAAACAGAAAAATATTCACAATTCTATAAGCAAGAATCGAAAAAGGAGTTTTCTGCATCGTTGCAAAATACTTTGAAAGATCGACCAGTATGCACATTGAACAAGTTCTGTAACTTGGAGAAGCGCAGAAACTACGCTGCTTGTGTATTTTTATATAAAATGCTTAATAATGCCATAGATTGTGAATATTTACTTGGTAAGATTCTTATTCATGTACCTAATGCTAAGACGCGATCCAATTCAAAATACTTTTACTTAAACGTAGCTAGAACCAATGCGTTGCTTTCATCTCCGATATATGTAGTATGTAACAACTATGAACGTGCAAGAAACGCAGTAGATTTGTTCTTTTGTAATTTGCGTAGCTTAAAAAGATTTTACATAACAGTAGGTTAAGTCATTTGGCAATTTTAAGTTATTTTTGAACAATTTTGTCTTAAAATTGATTCCTGTGTTCCTATCCGTTAAATGGTGTAATAAACCGTTCGGATAGTGTATATACTAGTAAATATACTAGTAAATAAATAAAGTTGTAATATAGAACTCGAAAAACATGTTGTGTACAATAATAAACTTGTTTTATAGACGGCACTGTTTGATCCACCACTGATCTTGTGATCTTGGGACGGCATTTTTTCCTATACCGAAATCAACGACACTATCTACCGATGCCGTTTTTTTTTCGGTTCGCCAACACCACAGAAAACTTCGAAAGCAATTAAGACTCCAGACATCTTCCAAATTAAATACAAAGGAAAGATAACAATAAATTTTGCAAATATTGTGGTAAATAGGTATTTTTGATTCTGGATGATAATATCTAGACGATGAATAATAGGTGGCCTCAGGAATGCAGAATGTCCTGTTTGTTTACATTTGGTGTGGTTTTCTGACAATAAATTGGTAATAAATTGCTTTTGTATGTATGTAGCAAATGATGATGAACCAGCTAGAATATGTTGTATATCATTTTTTTTGCAAAATAAAAAAAAATGGGTACATTTCTACAGGTGCGTATTATTTACAACAGCGTGTATGTGATAATGGAACAAAACTGGACTGCCATGCATGGACAGTCGTCAAAAGCAGTGAAAACATGCTATTAGGTTATTATTTCTCGCATCTTCATTGGCCCATTCAAATAAGTTTCTGTCTTTGATGAAATGATAGACATTGGCAATTCTAAGAAAGTTATCCGAATTCTAAAACTCAAAGACATGGTATTACATCTAGAATGTGCCCTTGTTTATAAAACAACCGCATTTTCACGATTTTATTCAATATTTCAATAGAAATTACTGACAGCTTTGACAGCTTTCGTCAAATTGCATTGCAATAAGTTCTTTCCTAATTGATCGAAGACTCCGTTATATTTTAGTATTAGTGAAATCGGCTATGAGTGAAGTGAAGAGCATCAGTGAATAAATTTGTTGGTTATCTTAAAAAATGGCAATGTTACGCTATCCAGAAGTTTCTTATCTGGAAAACTATCTTGTGGGATCTCGACACTCAGTGACGATGTCACATAACACCAGCTATCATTGGATCCGCCATTCTGATTGTTTAAGAATTCATATTTAATTCCTTATCAGCTATCTTAAAAACACTTGAAATTTAATTTTGAGCGTCATCAAATCATTTTTTTGCAAACAATAGCCGCCATATTAGAGCGGATATTTCCATTTTTAAGCAATCGATATCAAGTTCGCTGTTAGTGACCCTGAAACCGTCTAAAACTCAAATTTGAGCTCAATCAAAATATGTATGTAACCATATAGAGTCCGTCATTTTGGTCTTTGGTAAATGGATATCATATTCGTTATCAGCCACCTAGAAAACGTAGAAATAAAATTCAGTGAGTCCTTCTAATTTTGTCCATGTTTTGACTTTTGAACCACTGTGGCACCGATTGCGTGTGGGCTTAACTATACAAATGTTAATGCCTGCCAAAGCATAAATCTTAGTATAGTATATTTAACTACCAAACATTATTATATTCACCTTTGGAATATTCCAAACCTTCCATTTTATTTATTGTATATCTATAACATCGCACAGCAGCTTATGCCAAGATACAAAGGATATATTGCTATGGAGCGATAAGGATAAGGCGATGTGCAAGGGTCGTCGCATGATCTGACCGCGTCAGTGCCGTATCCCAGAAGCTGAACTTATGTCATGTGACGTCACGACCGAACATCGACGGGCGAGGGAGGTTGGCTACAGCTCCCAACATACAGAATGCCTTAACCTGCCTAAACTTTATGTTGTCGGAATATTTGTACGAGATTTAAGAAATTTTATATGCAAGTAAAACTAGGAGCATTTTCTACCATAGAAAACTTCCTAATTATAAGTTCAGCATGTGGTTGGAGATCTTGGAAAATCGTTTTTCACACGAGTCGACGACATCCATAACCTATTTGATAATTTCTTTATGACCCTCCTTGTTTTCTTTGTAGGACAATACGCGTGAGTATCTTGTCCCTAACCCAGATAATGAAAATCGGGGTGAAACGATAAAGGCCAAATGAAATGTCTCCCTCTATAGCTTGTTTATTCATGAAAAGTCTCTTTTACTTCATTTACCAAATCGAAACCGCTTAACGTCAAACGGCTTCAATTTCATGAAGTGCCGAATTCTTCATGTTCAGGTCGAGCGGGAGCCATTTGTCAGTTAGTACAGGAATTCGAGGAATAAATGTTAACGAGACATAAATCAGAAGTCGAGCATTATGATTGTGTGATTCTTTTACTTAAGGGCAGATTCTGACTTTTGTTGAACATTTTCTATACAGTGGCGTAAGTGGCGTGAAAACACATTGAAGTTGTCCTTAAAATTAATCAATCCAAATCGTAAACTTAAAATGATAAGACGGTCTTTCGTTCATTTTAGATAGGGAAAGCTGTCATAGCCACTGTCAGGCGAGATAGATCCTTGTATCGGCCCTTCCTGTCCGAATTGTGAGATAAAATGCATGCCAACCTCAACCTGTTATCTCCCTCCGTACATGCTCTTATACGTATGTACATGTCGAGCAGACACAGAAACCTATTATACTCGTAGGTTTCCATGTTTGCTTCTGTCATCAGATACCTTGCTCAGCATCATCCTTCTACCAGACTACAAGAAAGCTACTTCGCCGTCCCGAGACTGTTCGTTAAAAAAAGAGTAATCTATCAGTCGGATAGCCCCGCTCTGATCAGAATCGAGCATGGATAATGTAGTCGGGGCGGCAGCACCCCAAACATGTGAGCAATACTCAAGGCTAGGTCTTATCTGGGCCTTGTACAGAGTGAGGAGGTTATGTGGAGGAAAGTACTTCTCTTAACGTATAGCCTAGCTTTTTTCCAGCATTTGCCGCTATTGACGAGATGTGTTCGTGCCAGATTAAGTCATCGGTGATCTGTGTAATCGGATGAGCGCCAGGACGCTTTTTGTTCGTCAACGTATAGTACTGTGTTTTGGAAGAATCAAACTGTACAAGATTGTTGCGTCCCCAAGCAGTTATAACCTCCAGGTCTTTCGTCAAAGACGTAGTTGCTGCTAGACTGCGTGTCTTTTAAGTTTTGCATATAGAAACATAGTAGGCCGCGCGGATCGAACGTCAGTACTGGATCTTAACCTCACTCTTTAGTAAACTTAAATTCAAAGTTTCACAACAACAGTGTTCTCACTACAGTGAATTTTTCAGTTTCATCAAGTCATTAGAAAAATGGAACTCAACCAAGAACATTTTCGCGCCATAATTTATTACAACTTTCAGAGACAATGATCATAGGAAGAATGCTTACTGTCTGTTTTCGGCAACGAAGCGCCACATCAGTCGACAATTTCCTGTTGGTATGAAGAATCCAAACGTTGACGGGTGAGTCTTAGCGACGATCCTAGGGTGGATGCACCAAAAACGGCAGTCACCCAGGAAAACGTCGATGCTGTGCGCAAACTCATCATTGAAGATAGACATGATACATATCGCGAGATTGAGGTGTCCTTGAAGATCTCAAAGACCTCAATTCAAAAAATTTTACATGACGAATTAGGAGTAAGAAAATTAGTTTCTCGTTGGATACCCCACCTGTTGACTGAAGAGCAGAAAGCAGCCAGGGTTAATTGGTGTCAAAAAAACCCTTGACCGTTTCAATTCCGGAAACTCAAAAAATGTGTACAGCATTATTAGTGGTGATGAATCGTGTATTTACTGTTCTGAACCAGAAAATAAACGACAGTTGGCTGTTTGGGTGTTCCAAGGTGAAGAAACTCCAACAAAAGTCATCCGTTCTCGAAGTGTTTCGAAAAAGATGATAGCGAAATTTGTGTCAAAAGCGGGTCATATTGCAACAATTCCTCTTAATGAGCAAAAAACTGTTACTGCGGATTGGTATAACCACCATTTGTTTGTCAAAAGTCATCACCGAGCTTCGAAAAATCAACCCCGAAAGAAGAATCATCCTCCACCAAGACAATGCAAGCTCGCACACAGCCCAAAAAACAAGGCAGTATTTAACGGAAGAAAACGTGGAATTATTAATTATTATTAAACATCCTCCATATAGTCCCGATCTAAAGTCCTAACGATTTCTTTACTTCCCCGAAAATTAAAAATAGATTGCGTGGTCAAAAGTTCCAGACAACAGACGAAGCAGTTGACGCATTCAAAAATGCCGTTTTGGATCTGCCAGCAAACGAGTGGAATAAGTGCTTCGAAAATTGGTTCAAGCGCATGCAGATGTGTATTGATCTTCATGGAGAATACTTCGAAAAACAATAAAGTCATTTAAAACTACCTACCGTGTTGTTTTATTTCCGTATGCAAAACTTAAAAGACAACCCTCATACCATCCATTTATAGATCCTATACCCATGGGGATTCACAAAAAATACTAAATTCTACTTGTAGATTGATTTTAACTTACTTAGGTATCATCAGATTAGCTCTTATTTTGGACTAGTCGATTGGTTAAACTTAACAAAATTGTAAATTACTCATTGTGTTTCGTCTTTTCAAATGAGTTTCTGCGTAAAAGACAAGTTAGTACTCCATGCGTATAGCCACTCTAGATACATACGTTTTGTATATACGGTAACTATGCCTCTTCACAAGACATAATTCGTCCATAGGTGTTTTACTTATAATGCCATTATTCCATACAATGATTAGCAGTGCATGAGAAACTTCCGAACTTCAATGATTTCAATAAACAAGTTAAAAACCATTTTTGAACAGCAAATTTGAAGATAATTTTATCGCCTTAGTTCTCTAAAATACATACGAACATGAATTAAACAGGTAGTTTTGAAGCATAATTTGATTATCATTTATACAAATAGTTCTTCTATTTTGTTGATATATATATATAATTCACATGTTTTATTATTATTATATATCAATACACCTTAACATGTTTTGAAAGATGTTTCTCAACTGTTTTATATATATATATAATTCACATATTTTATTATTATTATATATCAATACCCCTTAACATGTTTTGAAAGATGTTTCTCAACTGTTTTATATTCATTTGCACCCTTTCAGTTCACACAAAATTTCTCTAAGTACTGATTTTTCGGAACCTTCAGCCTTTAGCCAATTTTTGGACATCTTTGGCGGAAGGCCTAATGTGTGGCCAAAGGTGTATTTTTTGGACGACCCTGCATATTGCTGTAACCGTACTTACTACATGTCCTATGCTATACCAATATCCACTCCGAACTTATTTTTACCGTGCGTCTAGCTAAACCCAGATATAGAGCTGTTACATAATTTATTCCTCCATCCGTTTTATCTGCAGTATAAATGGGCGAGAAGGAGATGTATGTACTTACGGGGAATTGAACGGGCACCTTATACCCCACCCAACCATCTCATAACGTCTATGCTTTAAAGTGCTGGCCATGGAAAGGTGCTCGCTCCCAAGGAGACCCTAATGATATCATAAAGATCGCTATTGGATGATTGGATGGATTGGAAATGTGTTGGTGGAGATGTTTCGACGTAATTACTTATTGCTCGTATAGTAATGGGACTGCTTTCCACATTTCGAAGTGCTTTATATACTTGTAGATCATGCCAGAGGCCCTCATACAGGTAGCGATGTGTAGTTCGTGAACGAGTTTGTTAAAGCGGATGATTCTCATCAGTCCATCATTCCTTATGGTATCACATGATCCCAAATGCAGTTAGTAACAAAGGCTGAAAGAGATAAAGATTAGCTGACTTCCAGACAATACATCACCCAATAAAAAAAAAAAATACTAAAATGAAAATGTTGATCGACTAAAGTGTTCCAGTTAAAAAAAATGTTCTATCAGCATTCATTCTATTCCTTGTCTTTCGTATGTAATACTAAAGAAGGACCGTTCTCACGAATCGCTAATTAAAGGTATTTATTATTCATCAAAAACCTTCTTAACTGGTAAAAACGAAAAACAAAAGTGTATCCTACATTATCTGAGATTGTTAGACAACGAGTATATCTTGTAGCTGCATCTACTATGTGGGCGACAGTTGACTTAGAGCACTTACATTTGAAACGTCCATCTTAACAGAAATAAAAGAAAAGTCAAACGACCGGTCCCGAGGCTTGGATGAAAGGCGGAGTTTTCACTGGTACTGGCATGAAGGCCACCTAATGAACAAGTTCTCCAAATTGATTTAGAATGCACACCACTGCATACAGGATATTCTAAGAAAATTTGTTAGCCTTTCTGATTCATACATGATACGTACAGGTCACAGAAATAATAAGTTCTCGCCACACATGTCCTGCGAGACTTTCTTGGTCTTATTTAGATACTGATTCTTTCAATTCGTTACACTGCCACCGATCTCTGGAAAATTTGATCAAAATGAAAAAATTGATTAGCTGATATACCAAATTTAATCCCGAGTTTTTTATGTCACTGATTGTCACAGCTACCGTACAAGAAATAGATCTATCGATCCTAAACTACAAAAAATACATTGCTTAGAAGTCATATCTTTTTAGGCCTAAAGTTATATTATGAAATATTATATATATATATATATATATATATATATATAATATCCGGGTGCAAAAATTAGTTCTCCGCTTTGAGGCTACTATGTCCTTAACGCTCTAAGTGAGTTAATAGTTTTCTATGGACAGCGTTATGTAAATGTCAATTAGTTACTATCCTATAAAATTTCCATTGACCCACAGAAAAGCAGTTTGGAAGTTATTTAAAAAAAAACAATTTTCAACATGTTTTATAGGAACCTGCGGCAATATTAATTGTGGTGTATACAGGGTGTTTCAAATTTGACCCTCACCGTTGTAAGAGATACGAAGTGGCTTAAATGGGGACAAAGTTGCATATTAGGCAATCAAAAAAGGCCGCTTGGAAGGTTTCAAAATTCAAAGTACTTCCGGAGAGAGACGAAAAAATGTTTCCCAAAATCATTTTAATTTTTTCTTGACTTTATTTGTAGTGGGATTTCAAAATAAATTGCACATTACCATTGCTACATTTTCTCCTCTACAAGATGGCTTAATTAGAATTGCAATATGATGTTTCGTCTCTTGTCCTCCAGCATCAAGGGCTTGATTCTAAGTGAGTTTCGACCGTTGACATTGATTCTGATGGCGCCTTGTGACGATGTATTTGATTCGTTATGATAATTTTTACATCTGATTATATTGATCTTCTATATTCAAATGATCATGGCAGTGTCAACATTATCAAGCTAATCAAGTATATCGTCATAAGGCGCCATCGAAAACAATTTCAACGGTCGAAACTCATTTAGAATCAAGCCCCAATTTTATTTTTTCTTATACCCTTATTGGATTTTTGCACAGGTGAATAGAGTTTCCAATTCTGATCCCAAAAATGTATAATACGTCACACATTGACATTGCCAAGCCTCAGTTATTTCAAAAAAAGGTAGGCCTTGAAGTTATCATGTTCATTTGTTTCACATGCAAGATTTATCCCAAAATCACTTTTGTTTTTTCCCGACTTTATTTGCGGTGGAGTTCGAAAATAAATTGCATGTCAACATTGCCGCTTTTTCTCCTCTACAAAATGGTAATTTAGGGTCGATTTCACCAAGGTTGTCAAATCAACAGTCCGTTATTCTCCACCTGTATTGTAACAGTCCGTAAATACAACGAATGAGCTTCAAGTTCCAATCAACAAATTTTAGCAACCAATAGCTATGGAATGTTGAAAACAAAATACTGTCAAAGTATGAGATGACAGCTTGTCATTGAAACATCACCAGCTTATTGAATATTAAGAAATTACATATCATTCAGTCAAAATTTAGACAAATGTATGATTTTTGAATTAAATTCATGTTTTAATTACTACTGTTGATTTTTTATTCATGTTTATATTATTTTCTTCAATTGATATGCGATTTTACTGATTCAACTGGGTGTTTTGTCCTACAAACCTCTTGCAGATAGCCATTAAGCACCTACTTGATGACAGGCTCTACCAAAAGATATTGCTCGTCTCCAAACATTCATTCATTTACTTGCCGTTCATCAGAACCATTATAGCACCTTAGATTGGTATTTCCACAAAACCATTAAGGTTTTTTGATATCCATACATCCATAAAATTGAATATTTTTCGTTGTTCAGGAACTGAACAAACATCCACACTATAGCGATTAAGAGATTCACAAATATATGCCTTAAGGCTACCAGCAAACCTAAAACCTGCAAAAAAACTACAAATTTGCCATATTTTTCTTTTTTCACGAGTAAACATTCTAGGTTATATTTATATTAGACATTATTTGAATACAGCTGATTATTGCATTTCAAGACCCATCGAGTGTCACATGTGTAGGATCTGTTAACCCTTGGTCCCAGTCACAAAACATATACTTTGAAGAAGGTTTGATTCCATGCTATTCAATGACAACACGGTGACTTGTGTGGTTGTCAGCGGCCATTTTGTGAGGGTGGGACATGGTTGCCAGATTGTGCAATAATATCCCGTTTCACCCCCCTGGTCCCAGTGGAGTAAGCTCCGCCAACTGTTGAAATATACTCTACTATGCTTTATAAGAGTATTCGTGTAATTTTTCCCAAAATCGTTGCACAACACTTGGAAATGCAAATGAAAATTTAAAATTATTTCCATGACGCCGCAAAATAGCTTCGTCGGTACCTCGGGTTATACATCTTGACATTAAGGATGTTCGATAGGATCCTATATTTAGAAGTATCAATACATTTCACGAGTATCGTCATCTTTCGATCCGGACTGTGTCAGAAAGAGTGACTGCCATTTGGCTGCGACATTACCCTGCCAAATCAGACATATCTTCCATCATTTTCAAAGAAATTGTACAAAATCTTCAAATTTGTGAAGTTAGCGAGATTCACTTCATACGTTGTTACCAGACATGCCCAAATTATCAGTTGCTGCCGTTATATTCATCCCGACCGCTGCATCCCCACGGATAGGCGACCTGTATGTTAAATTTGTACTGATAGGGCAGCGGGTTATGCTATAAATCATATGTCACAGTTTTTGTGCACTGATTGCAACGGTTAGATGATACCAAAAATATTTTCATAGATAGGAGATCTTTCCCATTCCGGATCGAACAATCCACCAAAGATGCTTATAATCATGATACCTAGTAAATTTACATGAAAAATCCTCTATATGTAGGTATATAAGAGCTTTCTTATATTTGTTCATCAATTTGATTACACAACACATTTGCTAAAAATGATCATAATCAGGATAGTAAACTATGACGAAGGTCCACTGTATGTAAGAATTTTCAGATACTTCATTTGCAATTTGACAACAGACCATGACGGTGTTCACATTTTTCAAATATTCTTCAAGAAGTGTTATCAGTGTAGCTCAAACTATCATAAGTACTATGTTTGTATTCCTACTTTAAATTCAAAACCAGCAAATGTAAAA